ATTGTTCATTTGGAAGGTATATATGTACCTCATCAAGAGATTTGTTAATTGAAAGAGTGATATTATTATTAAATTTGTGGTATTTTAAGTAATCTAAAAAAGATTTTAGTGTCTGGTAGTGAGGTAAATGTGGTAGGTTATGATAAGAGAGAAATTTATTATAGCAGGTGTTTGAGTCACATGATTCTAAAGATGTTGGAGGTGACTTCAATAGTGTTTCTTCTACAGGGTTGCTCGCCGTATACCCGGCTCTTACGGTTTCCAGAGAACTTGTAGTCTGCCCTGTACGTTGGGTCTGATCGTCATTATACCAAGCCTCCAGGTATATCTAGTTATTTAATATCATTAATCTATGATTAGCCAATCACAAAAATTTTATCTACCAATATTTTCTTTCTTTGGATGTTTTTTAGACTTTGCTTCTAAAGACTCTTTTTATTGTTTTTTGTATATTTTTCATACTTTTTGCATTTAATATAGTAACTTTTTTTCTTTGCCTTTTAGATTTCTAGGTTTTCTTGTTATTTTTGATATTCATAGTATAGATCTTTAGAATGGACTTTTGGTTTCACTTTCCAGTATGCTCTTGATATTTTTTTTTTATAAGTATTCTTTTTTTTTTAATAAGTAGTATATATACTAACTTCTTTTTTCTTTTTTTTTAGGTTTTAGACTTTTTTCTTATTACTTTTGGTATTCATAGTATTGATCTTTAGAATAGACTTTTGGTTTTGCTTTCTGGTGTTTTTTGGCATTCTTTTCTTTAAGTATTTTAGTTTTTTTGTTTTTTTTTTTAATATAAGTAACATACTAATTTCTTTTTTTAGATTCTAAACTTTTTTCTCATTACTTTTGGTGTTCATAGTACAGATCTTTAGAATAGACTTTCAGTTTCACTTTCAGTGTGCTCTTGGTATTTTTTTCTATAAGTATTTTTTTTTTTAATATGAGTTGCTGTCAAGACCAAGGAAGAGTCTTATATCCGTTTAGCCAATTTAGAAAAGGGTCATAATCATTAATAAAAAATAAAACAAATAACTTATTAACATACAAAAGCACTAAAATATAACAACTAATATAGCTTTCAAGTGTTCCAGACACTATTAATACTAATATCTTTATTTTTCTATGACTTAGCAAGTTCCAAACTTACTATCTGTCAACTCAAAATACTACAACTAAAATAAAAACTAAAGAAAAACTATCTCTTAAAATCTAAAAAAACTAACTAACTAAAATATATATAACTCTATATATATACATAAATAAGCTTTAAAATAGTCTATAGTTTAATTAAAGATATACTGTATACTTCGCATAAGCTATTAAAATATTACACAAAGTATATTTAAAAGTATAAGCAAAGTATCTAATAGTATAACAGTTACATAAAAAAAGTTTAAGTATGAAACTTTCTTTGCATAACATTTTCCTCTGCTTGAAGGATGAGCTCCACTCGAATCCTGATATCTGCAAAAACTTCTGATTACATCATATGCTTCTTATTCGTTCGAAATTGTTAAGACTGACTCTTTATAATCTATTTTCGATATCTTCGCTAAATCGTTAGTGTTAGTTACCATTTCGAGTTCGTAGGCCTTGATTCCCAGTTATCGTAATTTATTCCAAAAATTCGAAGTTCCATATAGATTCTATATTTGCAGTTCTTTAGATGCTATAGGTGCCCCATTCCCACACCTACTTGTTATAGTCGACTCTAATTCACTATGTCTGTTTTTTTTTCTGATCAATTAATTGTACCTTTGTTTAAATATTTCAACTCCCCTTTTTTTTTTTTTTTTTAATTTTCCAAGCATGTTCATATACCCATGTAATTCGATTCAAATTGATTGCCCTAATTGAAAGTTTTAATTGTATCTCAGCAATTAAGTGATTCAAATTTTAATTTGTATTGTCAGGTGTAACCTGAATTAATATGAATTGTACTAATAAAATTTTTTTTTTTCTACATTTCATTATACTAATTCAGTTCGATTCAATCCTCAGGTTTCCTCCAGGATTGAAGACCAAATTGATAAGGTCATGTATTGATATTGTTATCAAGGTGATTTTTACCCAAATGATTTGGAATGGTATTTTCTTTCCAGATTTGTTTTTAATATATTTCAGATGGCATTTGATCTTTTTATTGTTGTTGCCTCTTCTGGCTACTAATATTTTTCGTTTGTCTTTCTTTAATTCAATATTTGTTCCAACTAAACCTTTTCTGTTTCGACTATAATAGCCTCCTGGATCAAGTAGTTTAATTGATTTACTACCTTCAGCACTTACTTCATGTTGTATACGTAGTTTATCCATTTCCACATAAACTTTATTAAACATTCCTTCGGTAGGTTTTATTTCATCAAACCTTTTTTCTTTGCATTTGATCATCTGAAATTGACTAACTTTTTCTAACCACTTCTTATATCTTTGATTTGGAGTTTCTTCTTCCGAGCATCATTCGAAAAAAGCACTATTTGAATTTTCTTCAAGATTCCTATCATCATCAACCAACATTTCGTGATTACACATAGAATGAAGTTTATAGAAAAAGTATTCTTAACCAACTAATGCTTGCTCATTATCATCATCAGAATCTTCTTCGCTACTGTTCGATTCTTTACTATCATCATCATCATTATTATCTGATTCAACTACAGTTTCTTTGCTCTTTTCTTTTACCATTTCAATACTTGTATCCTTTTTTAGAACATAATCTCCAATGTTTGTCAGCTTGCAATATTCAGTCGGTATCTTGATTTCTTTGTCACCATCCATAATTGTAAGTTCTTATAATTCCCAATCTAATTTCGCTCTTGCTTTCTTCATCCAGTCATTTCTGATGACAGCTGTATAGTTTCTAGTATCTATTACAACCACACAAGAAATAATAGTTTTTCCACCAACAGTTACTAGAAAACGGTCAACTTCACCTAAAGGTCATTTTTATTCGCCATAGATTTCAGTCATCAACATGGTCGAAGGATGGTTAATTGCAATTCCAACTTCTTTTAAGAAACCCGCCAAAATGACATAACCTGAGGAACCACTATCCAAAATCAAAAGAATCAGTATATTGTTTACAAAGGCTTCGCAATATATCGATATCGTATAATTCTCATTTGTTCTTTCTAGACAAAAATCGACAAACTTTGCTTTGGTGACTTGTCCAGGACACAATGACTTTTGAGTGTCTTTTCTTACTTCTGGCACAGCTTGAAATAATTGAGCATATGTGATATTGGCTTTTTTATTTTGAAAGTCTGATATGATTGAATATGGTTGTACACCAGCAATTATAGGAGAATTTATCAACTTCGACCATTTTTTCTTTTCGACCTTTGCCTTCTTGTCAACATGAACTGTCTTTTCAATATTCGGCTTTTTATTTACATTATTAGCCTTCTTTACAGGTTCATTTTGAGGTGGGGATTCGACTTTGTCAAGATTGTTAGTATTTTTTTGTTGTCGTTTTGCCAAATATGTCTCTTCGATTTTTTGTACTAAGAGATTTTTTGATGTTAACACACACTTACCTTCTAAAGATGCGTTCTTTAGTTTAAACGCTTGAACTCATCGTCTATTTGGGCAAACATTGTTTGAGCCCGTGATCCATCATTGGCTTGTGCATTGCCAATATTTCCAACATTGCCTTGATTATCAAAAACTGGTACTTGAGAAATGTTTTTACTATCATTATCATAGTGAATTACATTCGGGCAGTCTCTTGCAATGTGATCCGGTTGTTGACACGAATAACAAATCAGTCTATAGCCACTTTTTTCTCTATGGCTGTCATTGATCACAGAATAACTATTTTTATTATTGTTATTATTGTTTCCTTTTACAGCTATTACAATTTCTTGTAGCAAGAAAATCATCTGATCCACAAAGTTTGAAGAAACCGTATTAGGCTGCGAATTCATCACTAGTGGTTGTGATTGAAATGGCATTGATTGCTGCATTGATACTTGAGGATGAAAAGCTTGTTGCGATGGTGATACCCATTGTTGTTGTAAATACGATTGTTGGAGTAAAGATCTAGTCATCGTATTGTAAATTGTCACAGGTCCACAAAGAGCTAACCTACGTGAAAATGTCATTCACATACTCTGGCTCTGTCAATCGCTTCTTGTAGCATATTAGACATAAATGGCCCTACTGCTAAAGACAAATCAGGATGTAGTCTTGCACAAACATCTGTACTTTCACTACTTTCGAATATTGACTCCCAACTTTAGTAATATGATTAAATAACAATAACATATCGACAGCGTATTGATCTACAGTTTTTTCAACACATTGTCGTCTCATTAATAGTTCATTAGTCTATTGGCTGATTAATGTTTGGGAACAGAAATTTTGCTAGAATTGATGAGCAAAACTTTGTCAGAGTAAAAAATCACTATTCTAATATTGTATTCTATGCTTTACTCTAGCCTACCATAGTGCAGCTGCTTCAAAAAGATGCAGACCAACTACTGCCAGCCTTCTTTCTTCTAAAATGTTGTTTGCCTCAAAAGCTTGTTCTACTAGCTCCAGCCATTCTATCAGGTCTTGATTTCTAGCAGCAAATATAGAAATCTTAACTATGATTTGTTCTTTTGGCTGAGCTCTCAGCTCTAACACATCAGCTATCACTTGTAATATTTGTTAAGTTTGTTGATCGGGGCTATCATTTGGTGTATCCAAAAGACTTACGTTAGTCTTCACATTACTGCTCTTCAGATTATAGCTTCAATCTATAACAATATCATCATCTACTATCATTACATTACTTTTTTCTTTTCCAGTTTTATTACCACTCTTGGATGCATTTACTGGTTTGTAAGTCATATATTCTTTTGTAGGTTTGTCGTCGTTAGTCATTACGGCTTTATTTCAAGTTGTCATTAATATATCCACTTATCATTTCATTCGTCCAAGCTTTTAATTTTCTTTTCTATTATTCACTACTAATATATTATCAGTTCTTTATCATCTTCGTAACTCTATTCTAATACAGAACGGATCCGTAACTTGTTCAATTATTCAATTATTCAAATTATATTATTAATTTTATTAGCACAATGCTAATTTGAGTCGTGTTCACTGATCTAATTATTTTTTTTAACACAAGCTGTTCTTTGGCTTTTGCTCAAATTATTATTAAAATTTCAACACCAACGATCTTTGTTACGATTTTTTTTTCGTTTATTATTAAAATTCTTTACACTAATCGACTTTTACTTCTTATTAGTTTTTATATATCTACACAACTAGCATCATAAATATTATGACCAAGGGAGAGTCTTATATCCGTTTAGCCAATTTAGCAAAGGGTTATAATCATTAATAAAAGATAAAATGAATAACTTATTAATATACAAAGACACCAAAATGTAATAACTAATATAGCTTTCAAGTGTCTCAGATACTATCAATACTAATATCTTTATTTTTTTATGACTTAACAAATTCCAAACTTACTATCCGTCAACTCAAAATACTAAACAACTAAAACAAAAACTAAAGAAAAACTATCTTTCAAAATCTAAAAAAACTAACTAACTAAAATATATATAACTCTATATATATACATAAATAAGCTTTAAAATAGTCTAATTAAAGATATGTTGTATACTTTGTATAAGCTATTAAAATATTATACAAAGTATATTTAAAAGTATAAGCAAAGTATCTAATAGTATAACAGTTATATAAAGAAAGTTTAAGTGTGAAACTTTCTTTGTATAACATTATATACTTACTAACTTTTTTTATTTTTTTTAGATTCTAGACTTCCTTTTCATTACTTTTGGTATTTATAGTATTAATCTTTAGAATAGATTTTTGGTTTCACTTCCCGGTATCTCTTGGTGTTCTTTTCTTTAAATTTTTGTTTTTTTTTTTTTAAATATGAGTAGCATATTAACTTCTTTTTTTAGATTCTAGATTTTTTTCTTGTTACTTTTGATATTCATAGTATGAATCTTAAGAATAAACCTTTGGTTTTGCTTTCTGATATGCTCTTGGCAATCTTTTCCTATAAGTATTTTTTTTTTAATATGAGTTGCATACTTACTAACTTCTTTTTTCTTTTTTTTTAGATTTTAGATTTTCTTCTTGTTACTTACAGCATTTATAGTATTGACCTTTAGAATAGATCTTCGGTTTTGCTTTCTAGTATCTCTTGGTATTCTTTTTCTTAAATTTTTGTTTTATTTTTTTAGGTTCTAGACTTCCTTCTTGTTACTTTCAGTATTTATAGTATAAATTTTAAAAATAGACCTACAGTTTTGCTTTCTGGTATGCTTTTGGTATCCTTTTTTTTATAAGTATTCTTTTTTTTTAAATATAAGTATATATTTACTAACTTCTTTTTTCTTGTTTTTTTTAGGTTCTAGACTTTCTTCTTATTACTTTTAGCATTCATAGTATTAATCTTTAGAATAAATCTTCGGTTTCACTTTCGGGTATCTCTTGGCATTCTTTTCCTATAAGTATTATCTTTTTTAATATAAGTAGCATATTAACTTTTT